TGTGTGTGTGTGTTTATCATGTTTGCAAAATATTTCATCATCAACTGAATGATTTTGACTCAAACTCTTTTACAGTATTCACCAGTAGGGAGCTAAATTGGGGTCTAAAATTTAAAAAAAACATCATCGATAGTAGATATTTATGTGATTGATTACGAAAAATAACGTTCTTTACTGACATAAGCTGCTTATATCAGCACACAACACTAATCTYGGTGGAAAATGTTCACATAAACATTGAATATTGATGATGTTTTGAAGACATTTCCAGTTCCCATGGTTCCTGAAAGCAATAACTTATTTATTGTCAGTCATCATTCTAAACCCTCTGTCTTCTAGGCCCTGCCCCCACACCAAAACAGGGCTAGTTGTTTGAAACAAAAAAAAATGAATAGAATCTAACAAGTAGTTTTGAACTTTTTTTACAATTTCAAAAATAGTGCTTTTTAACTAACTTCAYAGTCCCAGTTCAGCTCTGTACATTAGGGCTACTCAATAACCAGCMTGCAAGTGACTTCTTGGGACCCCGAGGCCTTCTCAGGCCAAAGAGGATATATAATCCCTCTAGCGAGTCCTGAGTCTTCCCAGGGACCTCCTACCAGTGGGACGTGCCCGGAACACTTYTCAAAGAAGGCATCCAGGAGGTATCCTAATCAGATACCCAAACCACCTCAACTGACTCCTTTCGATGTGGAGGAGCAACGGCTSTACTCTGAGCTCCCCCGGATGAYGAAGCTCCTCACCCTATCTCTAAGGCTGAGTCCGGCCACCCTACGAAGCAAGCTCATTTCAGCCGCTTGTATCCAGGATCTCRTTCTTTTGGTCATGATCCATGCCTCATGACCATAGGTGAGCATYGGAASAAAGACAGACCAGTAAATAAGAGCTTTGCCTTTCAACTCAGCTCTTTCTTCACCACAAGTGACCAAAGCAATTCTCTTAACGATATCCTCAGTCCGGGTCAGCAGTTCCCCACCCAAACCAAGTACAGCCTGGGACAGGGAATGCTTTCTTCTTCTGAGTCGCCGAATGGTTTCCCAGAACCTCCTTGAGGCCAATCGAAAGTACTTCTCCATGGCCTCCCCAAATATTTCCCATGCCTGAGTTTTTGCATCTGCAACTATTGAAGCTGCAACCCTTTGTGCCACCCTGTACCTGTCAGCTGYTTTAGGAGTCCTCCAAGAAAGCCATGTCTAGAAGGCCTTCTTCTTCAGCCTGATGGCCTCCACCACCACTGGTTTCCACTAGCAGGTCCTTTGGCTGCTGCAGCGACAGGCACCAATGACCTTCAGGCCACAGCTCCTGGAAGCCGTATTTGCAATAGAGGCCCTGAATATGGCCCATTCGGATTACATGTCCCCGACCTCCCCCGGGACATGTGAAAATCTCTCCCAGAGGTGAGAGGTGAAGATCGCACGGATAGGGGGCTCCGCCAAATGTTCCCAGTTCACCATCACTCTACGTTTGGGTTTACCAGGTCTGTCTGGCAGCCTCCCCTGCCACCGGATCCAGCTCACCACCAGGTGGTGATCAGTTGACAGCTCTGCCTTCCTCTTCACCCGAGTGTCTAAAACATAGGGCCGCAGGTCTGATGACACGATTACAAATCCGATCATCGACCTTTGGCCTATGGTGGCCTGGTGCCAAGTACACTTATGTACCCCCCATGCTCAAACATGGTGTTTGTTATGGACAACCCGTGCTTCGCACAGAAGACCAATAACAGAACACCGTTCAGGTTCAGATCAGGGAGGCCGTTCCTCCCCTTCCAGATAACTCCATCATTGCCCACATGGGCATTGAAGTCACCCAGCAGAACAAAGGAGTCTCCAGATGGCACCCCTTCCAGAACACCATCCAAAAACTCCAAAAAGGCCAGGTAATCTGATGTTTGGTGCATAAGCACAAACAAAAGTCAGAAACTTCCCTCCTGCAGCACAAAGCTGCTGCAGAGAGGCAACCCTCTCATCCACTAGAGTGAACTCCAACCCTGAGGCACACAGTCGGGGTTTGTGAGTATCCCCCACACCCGCCYGTCGCCTCTCACCCTGGGCAACTCCAGAGTAGGAGAGAGTCCAGCTTATCTCCAGAATTTTGGGTTCCAGAGCCCAAGATGTGTGAGTAGAAGTGTGCCTAACTGGCAACGCTCAACCTCACCCACAAGCTCCTTATCCGCAAGTGAGATTACATTCCATGTCCAYAGAGTCAGTCATTGCCACCAGGAATCAACACGGCCAGGGACCCTCCTTCRCCTCCTGCCCGKCATGCATCACACCTGACCTTGATGGTCCTCCCTGCGGGTGGTGGGCCTACGTGGAGGKGGCCTCCTGTAGTCCTTTCGGGTTTCACGAGGCCAAGCCCCAGGAGCCAAGCCTCGACCACCAGGCACTCGCCAGTGAGCTCCACCCAATTCTTTCATTTYGTCAGCAAAATATTTAATCTAAAACGTTTCACTGGACTGGTTTTGATGACACCCAGAAAAGAATTGGTAGAAGTACGTCTACAACTAAATAACTTTTAGTGCCAATGCAATTCATGGCTAAGTTTAACTCTAATCTGGTGCTTCTAGATTTATTTTTCTTGTTTGTTTGCAGGTGTGATCAGGTGAGCGGCCAGTGCATCTGCAAAGATCACATGTTTGGACGTCGCTGTGACCAAGTTGAGTCTGGATTCTACTTTGTTGCTCTGGATCACTACACCTACGAAGCAGAAGATGCCAAGTTTGGACCTGTGAGTGTCTGTTTGACCTTCCAGAAACTAGAAGGTGTTTGCATTGTCTTTTATTTTGYCAGCCTGGAAAGATAATCAAAGAAGACCAAGTTAAAATCAGCCCAACAGAGGCTTAGGATTGAAAAGAAACCCAGACATCAAACAGTATTTTTACTTGTGTATTTGTACCATAACTTTTTAATCATATATTTCTCTCACAGGACTTGGGGTTAGCTGTTCATTGTTAGGATTTCTTCCTGAATGAAACAGTTTTTAGCCAGGGTCTCATCAGGTTTTTGTTATGGTGTCTCTGTAGGGTGTGACAGTGGTCCCGAGGCCCCACCCGTATGATCACATTCCCACCTGGACAGGCAGGGGTCTGGCCAATGTTCCAGAGGGGGCYTTCTTGGAGTTCTCTGTTGACAACATTCCTCATTCCATGGAGTACGACATTGTCATCCGCTATGAGCCTCAGGTACMCACAGCATAAATGGTGACAATGACATTTCAAAAGTCACAAATTTGAATATGCYGCATTTACTTCGAAAYAAACTATTTTGAAAGCAAAACTTTCTGCTTTTACTCTGGGTGACTGATTTATTACTCYGCTGTACTTAATTTCTATAATACATCTACTGTTTTGTGGATTGGTCCATTGTTGATGACTCTAATTATTAGTGGGGGTGTATGTATATATTTGATTCTGTGTGGATCAGAGAAAATCCACAATTAAATTATTATTACACACACAATTTTTGTGTTTAAAATAGTTGAAATTGTATGTTTTATAATAATGTWATCCTAGAACTGAAGGAACTGTTCACATAAATTATAAAAAGTCCAAAAGAAGGACGAAGGTTCTGCTCAGATCTGATCCTATTAAACTAGAGCAGCAACTACAGAAGTTTGCATTTATTTATTTTTAATCCTGAAACATCAGATTGTTTGTTCTGGATGAAGACTGTATTTTTCCAAGCTCCTTTAGATAAGATGAAGCCAGAGCTTTAAAAGCTTCAAAAGCCATCAATCAAATCTCAAACTCAGTTCTGGAACAGACGTAGCCTGGCCCTCGCCTTCCTACGCAGCTCCGATCAATTCTAGTTTCCCTTCACTGCTCCATCTGGGACTTCTCCCATTGAAATGGATTTCCGCTGGCAGATTTTTAGCTGGGCCAATCAGAGAAGAGAACGTCAATTTTCTGTGCAGTGTCTCTTGTAGTTTATTTAACTGGGCCAATCAGCAAACAGAAGGAGGAGTTTTGAATGACGTCGATGTTCTGCGCAGTGTCTGCTAGTTAGTTTATCATACGGCAGTGGAGGAAATGAATGAAGCCAGTCTGTGTTGATAAGGCTTCCAAATTAAATTAMATTTGTCTGACAAAGCAGCAGCTCTCATTTACCGTCGTCTTGTTCAGCTCGGTATATTTCTCCTCTCAGTAGGGTTGTTTACAGCACACGCGATTTCCGGTTAGCTTCTTAGCTTAGCCTCCTTCACAACGACAACACATACATGCTTCAGCAGTGGCCACGCCTCCTGCAAGAAACGATTCTCTATGCATCAAGTCCAGGCCCTWGTAYGAAGCAAAGTGAAGGASAGGGTCTGGTTTTAACCAGGCTAGAACAGACAGGAAGTCAGTAAAAGTCTAATCTGGGGTTCCACAACTCTACCAGCAGCTGTTTTCCATCTGTTTTGAAGGTTCAGGTTTTTTCTGAACCTTCAAACCAACTTTCTGCTTATATTAACTTTACATAACTGAGGTGCAACATTCTTTAGCTTCACATCAAACTCTGTGACTGATTTTACCTTTAGTCCACAGAGTTCTGTTTGTTTTTATTAGTTAGAAAAATCATCAGTAAGATRTCAGTACAAAATGTTTTAATGTGTGAAATAAAAGAAAAGAGAGGGTGAAGAGAGGGAAGACGAGAGGAACACCAGCGTCCTGCTCGTTGTTATTATCAGAGCCAGAGTCTGAATTGTCTGATGTGTTTGTTGCTTTGGTTCTGCAGCTGCCTGACCAATGGGAGGAGGTTTTGATGACTGTGATGAGGCCTGGACCAATCAGAGCTGACAGTCGCTGCATCAACACTGTACCTGACGATGACAACCAAATGATCTCACTTCACCCCAGCTCCCGGTCAGCAGACTGAGCATTTTTTACTAGAAGACCATGATGTAGCATCAGTGTGACTGGTTCTGGTGTTTGTAGGGTCTGTTGGATGTTTTATGTACAGTTTGTAACCAATCAGAAACAGGTTTGTTTAACAGTGTTTGGTGTCAGAACACGAAAGATCCCAATTTAAGCTCTTAATAAAACAAGAGGTAGATGACTTCATAGGTCAAATCTCCTAATTGTTGTAGTTAAGGAAGCAACTTAGCAAGAGATAAAATGTGCTGCTYGTGTCTGGAAGACTTTCAGTGTTTACGTAAGTGAATATGAAATTTACAGCAGTTGCTAACTTTGTGCCCACAGGTATGTGGTTCTTCCGAGGCCCGTTTGTTTGGAAGCTGGACTGAACTACACCATCCGTCTGAGTTTGCCACTGTACTCAGCTCTCAGTGATGTTCACTCCCCGTACACGCTCATTGACTCGGTGAGGAACWTTCAGAGTGACTGGGACACTCATTAACAATCAGAGGGAAGGAATATATCTGAAGTAATTGCCAGAGAATAAAAAAACAGTAACAGTCAGAACTCAAGATCTACCGTTTCCTGAAGGAATACTTATCACCCACTACCTTTTCAGTCAGTTTGTTGACTGCGTAGGGCAGGGCTATTCAACTGGCGGCGGAGTGACTAAAGTTYGCCCCGCCAATTGGTTCAGTCATCTCTTAAACCCAAAACCCTGGTTTTCTACTTTAATTACTCTAAGGTCTTTTAGTTAAACATAGACATGTTTGGTATCTACAGAAATGTAGCCAATAATCTTGGCTACAAGCTGGTAAAACATCTCTATGAACACTTAAGACAGTTAAAAATACCAGCAGTTGAATATAAAATTATGAAAGTAAAAATAAAATTGGTTTAAAAATTTGGCAAGTCAGATGTCAAAATAATTTTTGTGTCAAACAGGAGGCATAATGTGTAATGTTTGATACTGTTTAATTATCACTACTTTTATAGGGTTCTTTATGTTGTATTCATGATTAAATACAGCAAAATTAACTATTTCAAAGGTAACAGATGTTTGTAATACTTGGTTTATTTACATAATGACTTTAATGGCTGGATGTTCGGCCCCTGAGATGTTGGCTACAGTAACTGTGGCCCTCGGAGCAGTTTAGTTGAATAGCCCTGGCGTAGTGCAAAAGAAAGTGGCTGTAAATTTGGACAGTCTAGCCATCAGCTTTATTCCTGCCC